TTTTTTTTTTTTTTTTTTTTTTTTTGCATCACAATATGGAAAGCACCCTGTTTGAAAATTACAGTAAAATTAGTCCAGGGTATAGCCGGGCAGGCTGGAGGTGAATAAATCGTCGTTTCTCACACTCTGGCTTGGTCTTAGTGTGGCTGGACGAGTTCAAGGCTTCAGGGCACGAGATTTTTGACTGAGCTGTTTCACATACTCCTGGACCCATTTTTCCTTCGGGTCAGCACAGATCTCCTTGGCCAGCTTCGTCCTGAAGCTGTGGATGCAGGAGGGCTGCACAGTTAGATCCAGAGAGGACTCACTGTGCTCTAAACCCTGCGTGGCCCACCTGCTCCAGGTGAGGGATCCTCCCCGGGACAGGAGGGAGGGGGGGTTGTGGAAAGAAGGGGACTCTGGAGGTAGTCGCTGTTCTTGGAGGCCCCGGAGAAGCTGGCCTGGCATCAGACAAAGCAACTGTGAGATTGCAAGCCCATTCGGGGAGCGGGGGTGGGAGCGGGTGTGGGGGGGAAAACAGCCCTCTCTGGGCCTGTTTTCAGTGTAATCACAGTCTGGTAAAATCGTACCCCCTGAATATAAGATCCCGGGTTGGTCTGATGCCTGTCCTCTGGGGTGGCACTTCAGGTGCAGGGATGTGGGAATGAGGTGGGGTGGGGTCAGGGAGCGGGTGAGCAGCGTTTTTCTACCTACATGACAGCTGTCTGGGGACAGTGGCTGCTGGTGATTCGATAGGTCGTCAGCTTCGGCAAAGGGATCTTCTTATTGTTAAACGTGAAACAGCAAGGGAACAGGGCACTGAATGCACCTAGAGATAAAGTCACAAAGAAAAAGCCTTTTCGGAGGCGCTAGGTTCTTCTCAGCTTGAATAGGGCAGGAAGCATCTTTGGGGACAGGAAAGGAAAGAGGCAGAAATGGATCTTATCCACCCCAGGTCCAGTGCTCCTGCCCGAAGTCCCGAGGTGGGGTGAGACCTGGACCACGTGGCTCAAGGTTCTCTCAGCTGCGTGGTGCGGACAAGTCATTGCAGACAGAGGCAGGCCAGTGTGACAGGTCCTGGCTCTGGCGCTCCATGTGCCGAGTTTGGGAAGGTCGGCCAGGGTCAAAAAAAAGGCCCTGGATTTGGGGTGAACGGCTTAGGTTTTATCTTGGCTCTGCAATGGCTGGGGGTGGACGCGTAGGACCCCTTTGTCCCCAGCTTGGTCTTCAGCTTTCTGTCTTTAAAATTAGACGTTAAAGTGAAGCTCTGAGGATTCCCAGGGCTCTGATAGGCTCAGAAGTGGGACACTTTGGCTTTGGGCTTCCTAGAAGGAGAGGAAAAGGAAAAGAAGGAGAGAGGGCGGGAAGGAGGGAGAGAGGGGCTTACCTGGCTGGGCGAGCGCCTGGAGGCTGAAGGCGGCAGCTGCCAGCAGCAGGCACAGAAGCGCTGCGGAGACCCTCATGACCGCAGGGAGCTGGGGCGTGAGATCTGGAACTTTCTGGGCTGGTCTCAGTCTCTCTGCAATGCTGGTGGCCCTGCCTGCCTTTTATAAGGAAGCAGAGAGGGCAGGGGCCACCAGAGGGACAACTGCCTGGGCCGTGTCATGATCAAGTTGAGATGCAGGGCGCTCCCGAATCTGCTGAGCTGGGGGTTGGCTACCAGCGTTTTCCAGGAATTTCAAGAAGGAAGCTGTGGCTGCAGCAGGGCAGGTACTGTTTCCTTCCAGCTGCCCAGGCCACAGAGAGGAAGTGGGAAGACAGACGTGGTACCACTCTCCATAGTGAGTGCTCCCAGGAGCTGTTCCAGGGCCTGGCTTTCTCTGCAACCAGAGAAAGAACGCCGTGTGAGGGCTCTGCATGGGCGATGTATCTAGTCCTGACGAGGTGTATACCGTTATCATCGTGCCCATTTACAGACGAAGATGCTGGGGTGCGGAGACATGAAGTAACTTGCCCCAAAGTCTTGTGGGAAGTGAGTGGCGGCACCAGAAGAGAGAGCTGGTCTGTTTACATATAATCACTGCCACTGAACTGCAGAAGTCTTCCTCCGGGCGGGTTTATGTGGAAGTCTCGTACTTGAGACCAATCAAAGCCAGCTTCTGATGGATGACAAGGGCTCCTCTTGTCACCTACTGGTGCCCCCTTCTGCCACTCAGGCCCAGAGATATATGGCTTGAAGTCCACTGATTTGTCCAGGACCCCTGTTTTCAGGGAGGACTGTTGAGTTTCTAGAGCGGTTGCCGGGAAGGCAGCTGCAGAGTAGAACAAAGTGGGGTCCTTGCTTCTGGGCCTGGCTCCCCACTGCAGTGAGCTTCTGGCTGAGCTTGAGCTTGGGCGAACATCCCCGTGTGCACGGTGGGAGGGGGAATGGGCTTGGACTATGGGAAAACACCTGCCAAGGGGCGTGGCCTGAGCCTTCTGTTCCCCATGCTTCTTCCCAGCTCCCAGACCTTACTTACTTTTTGGACCTGCCTGGAATGCTTTCCCCTAGGTTTTCTATTCTTGTGTGTCTTTCCACTCTAGCAAGTTGTTTTTCACTTGTGTGCAATGAGGGTAAAAGCATGGAAATAGAGAGCTAAGATTAGTGAAATAGAAAATCAAATCATATATACTGGAAAGGATTGATGGAGCTCAAAGTCGGTTCTTTGATGAACCTACAACGAAGCTAATGCTCTCCTGAGACTCACCATGAAAAAAAATACAAAAAAAGTGGCACCTGAGTGGCTCAGTCTGTTGAGTATCCAACTCTTGATTTTGGCTAAGGTCATTATCCCAGGGTTGTTGGATCGAATCCTAAGTCTGGCTCCACGTTGAGCGTGGAGACTGCTATAGATATTCTCTCTCTCTCTCTCTCTCTCTCGCTCTCGCTCTCCTTCTCTCTCCCTTTCTCTCTGTCTGTCTCAAACATACATGCAAAAAGGCACAGATAGCCAGCAGCAGGAATAAAAGGAGAGGTGTCACCCTGGAGCCTGTAGACTCCAGAAGGAAAATTGGACCCTTATGCCAAAAATTTTAATTTAGATGAAATGGATGACTTCCTAAAAAATATAACTTACCAGACTGCCAAAAAAAAAGAGTAATTCTAAAACTACTGAAAAAATGGAATCAGTCATTGAAAATCCTCCTACAAAACATCCTCTGGTTCCAAGGGCTTTCATAGCTAATTCCTTCAAGCATCCCATGGATTAATCTTTCACAATTTTGTTCCAGAGAATATCAAAAGAGTGTGCACTCCATCTCATGTTTTTTTTAACTTAATGTTTATTTATTTTTGAAAGAGAGAGAGAGAGAGAGCAAGTGGGGAAGGGGCAAAAGGGAGGAAGACACAGAATCCAAAGCAGGCTATAGGCTCTGAACTGTGAGCACAGAGCCTGACATGGGGCTGGAACCCATAAGCTGTGAGATCATGACCTGAGCCACCCAGGCGTCCCCACTCCAACTCATGTTGTACATCTTACATAACTTTGACACAAAAATTTGTCAAGAACCACACGAGAAAGGAAACCTGTCCCCCGGACACACATTCCTTTATGGTCCACCCTCTTCTCTGACCTGGGAAGCCAACCTATGTGGATCTCTAGAGTAGGACTTCAGGTCTGCCGTCTGTGGGCAGCGCTTGCGTGCTAGGGAGCCCCTTGGGGCGTGAGAGAGGGCGTAGAGTAAGGTGTCTGCTGCCTCTTCTGGGCCTCAGCGTGGATGCAGTCCTCAATCAATGGCTTTCACTTCTCTCCAGGGGCTGGAGGGAGGGGGGTGCATACCCTGGCCTTTCCTCTTTGGGTTAAGGGTCAGTTCCTACACTGTTACTAGCCTCAGAGTACTAATGCACCCCTGTGGTTTCTCCACATTTCAGCCCACATCTTGCTAAATAGCCTCTACTAATCCATCCCCAGATCACTCAAATTTAAGTGTTATCTATTCCTTATTAGGACCCTCGCTGGCATAGGTTTGGACCCAGTACCAGAAATGGCTCCTGGAAATGGTCCTTCCACATGGGATTCTGGGATTGGGTCGCTCATATATTTTAGGAGCGTCTGTTGGCATCATGGTTGCTTAAATCATCACAGGTAAGGTTGTGTGGCCGACTATGTTTCAATGAACCCTGCAGGTGATTCTGGTGTGTACCCAAGTTTGGGAACCATGGAGTTGCAGCACATCCCATAGCCATCTCTGATCTCTAGTGAAGCCACCAGAAAGCCTTGGCAAAAGAAGCATCCAGGGGCCTTCCCTGGGAGCAAGTAGATCCCTTTCAACAGATCCACTTCTCTGAGACTTTGCACTCCTTCCTAACACCCCAGGGAAGTCTCAGAATTACAGATTAAGTAACTGCAGTCTTCTTTGTAAGCCTAGACTCCAATCAGCCAATCTGGCTGAGCATTAACATCATTTCCAGGTACTTGTGCTAACACATTAAATCCCGAATTTTCCGCAAGTACGCCTATGTCAATAAATTGGACGGAATGAGTCTTGTGTGTTCTTCTGCCATTAGTGACCACTCCTACACATGCACCCTGAACCCACAAATCCAGTGGGTGAAGGGACATCCAAACCCTCCTGACTGTAGGGACTCCTGTCTGTCCTTCCCTCTGCTTCGGGACATGATATCTCATAGGAGAATGGGGTTAGGAGCCAGGGATCTGGAATCAGCCAGTCATGGCTTCAAGTCCTATATCCACCATTGACTGGTTATGTGATTTAGAGTAAATCGCTTACCTCTCTGAGCCTCTAAGAGGAAACTGATGGTTAGTTATTACCTCACTTTGATGTCAGAGTTGAATAAGATAATCCATGGAAAGTGCTCATCACAGTGCCAACAACCTCCATTTCTAACTAGTGACCAAGTGATGCTCACGCCTCTGGTCTGGGGCCCATGCTGGGGAACCATGCTGTGATACATCTGAGTCTGGATCCCACTGGGAGGAGTGGGATCTGGGATGGCACAGGCTGGACAGTGCTGCTTCTTGAGCAGCAGAGACAAGGTGGGCACAGTTGCCCCCCAGGAGCCCCAGGGCTGGAGAGGTAATCTGTGTTTTGGCCAGCAGGGATCAGTGGCAGCGGTTATGAGATCCCTAGACGTGAAATGGATGGGATGCTTACTAAGGGACTGCTTGACTTTAGGCAGAAAATTCTAAGTTTTATGGGCAGAAACCTAGTACAAGTCCCTGTATCCATGGGACTTGAATTCATGGCCTCTTGAAACCCAATACAAGTCTCTGTATTCATGGGACTTGAATTCATTGATTCATGGCATCTTACCCAGTTATCAAATCTAAACAGTTTCATAGACCTGAAATCTTCAGATCAGGAAGACCAGGAAGGGCCCTTGCAATGCTAGGCTGCAGGTGAAATACAAGACAGTTGATTAAATTTGAGTTTCACATAAACAGTGAGCAATTTTTTTAGTGTAACTATGCAATTGGCAGTATTTTTGCTAAATCTGGAAACTCAGAGGTCTATACTGTAAATCTTTGCTAAGCCTTCCCCAGAGGAGCCTACTGCCATATAACCAGGGTGACTCTGCCCTAGGGAAAGAAATACTGAGACCTTCTGGGATTATTTGATGATGGCTCTAAATGGATGCTATTCTCTGGATACCTGAAAATTCACCCAGGCTCCCTGGTCAGAGTGGGAGCTTATGGAAACTCTATTGGCTTGGGGTTTCACTCAATGATGTTTAGAGCAGAAGTTCAGCTACCTCTTTTCTAGCTCAATGATCTTTATACGATATAACTCTCCCAGAACTTAGAATCCTGTAATTTTAGAATCATTTTCTTGTGTAGAGTCTTAGGATCCAAGCCTCCTGCAAGCAGTGTCCAGTTGCCCTGGGCAATCTTAGTGCCCTGCTGTCTTAGATTGGAACATGCTGGAGTTGGCTTCACTATGTCATGTTGTGATTTTCAGAGGTTTACCCATTGAAGTCTATTCTCGTGGAATAACTTGTTGGGAAGCCTTGATCTGTCACAGCTTAAAGCTACGACTAGTCAGAGAAGCACCCTGTACTTACGCTTCCCCCTGTCCATCTCACTTTACTCTTCAAAGCTGTCAGGAGTATTGAGATAGTACAGTCTTTCCACTTTACAGAACGGATATTTGACTGCTAGAAAGGCAGTCAATGGGAAGGGAGTGAGCCAGCACTAACTGGCACTCTCTGCCCCTGGGCTGGTCTCTCCAGAGAAAGGCAAGCCTGCAGAGGAAGTGATTAGCACCCTTGTGGCACCAGAGGAGGGAAGTCCCTCCATCCCCCCGCAAACAGTGCAAAACCACTTGCTTACTCCTTCCTTTACACCTCCTTCTCTCCTATCTCCACATTCACTTATAATATCCCATCCACCTGCAACATTATTCCTTCCATTTGGCCCCCAACAGGAATCATGTGAGGCCCGACTTAAATTGTGCTTCCAGCCCATACAGATTCCACATGGGACCAAACCTTGTTCTGAATGGATGCTTTACAGAAAACAGGACAAATCATAGAGGAACATTTTGATAAATGGACCGTATTAAAATTAGGAAGCTTATTTCATCAAAAGGCATATTTAAGGGAGTGGAAAGAAAAACCACAGATTATGAGAGGTGTTTCAATTTACACATCTGACAAAAGATTCCTATTAGGAATACAGAAGTTACTTCTATTAATTTATGATAAAAAAGACAGCCAATCTACAAATGGACAAAATCTAAATCTAAGCATTACCAAAAATGGACAAAAAGCATGGCCTGGGGTTCATGAAAGAAGACATCCAACAAATATTTGAATAGATGCTCAACCTCAGCAGTCATGAATATAATGAAATTTTAAACCGCTACTATGTGGATTATGGGAAGTTATAATCAGAATGGCTAACTTAAAAAGAATTGACAGAAGTGTTGCAATACCAAATGTGGAGCAACTCTAGTCCTTATACATTGTTGGTGGGTGGGAGTGGATGTAAATTAGCACCATAGTTTTGGAAAATATTTGGCAGATTTGAAAAAAGGTTTGGTGGGTGAGCATATATTCAACATACACATATCCTATGATCTCTGTGTGTATTTCTATCAATCACCAATCATCTATTTATCTATCATCTACATTCTACCTCTGTATTTATCTACCTCTGTGTCTATCTATCTATCTATCTATCTATCTATCTATCTATCATCTGTCATCTACCTGTAAATCCTAACATTTGCAACAATACCTCCAATTTCAGGCCAACACAACATGCTTTTTTCCCCTAGCTTTCTGACATTCCTATGTTTTGTCTATGGAAACTTCTCCAACAATAAGTGGCTTGACTTCTGTTATCTGCGATATATTTGCTTATTTGCTACACCCTTCTCTATGTCAACATTCTCCTAGTTATGTAGCTAACTTAGTCCCAATCTTGTTGGCCCTGAATTGTAGGCCACCTTCTTGGACCCAGTCCTAACAAATATGCTGGTCAAGTTCACGGTCTTGTCCAAGCCCTGGTCCCAAAGAGCACACTGGGCAAGTCCCTGATTCTGGTCCGAGCCCCAGCCCAGGTGAAAACCCCAACCAAATTCCCAGCTAAATGCCTGGCCCTGAGCCAGTGAACTTGTCTGTTGAGATCCAGGCATTGACCAAAGGAAAGGAGAACAAATACTGACTGTATGAAGCCATGACTCAATAAGACAGAGCCTTAGATGAGGACCTGTGTACAGATAGTTCATTTGGAAGTGATCAATGGAAAGGGATCAAGGATCCCAGGGATCAGGACTGAGCAGGTGGCAGAGGTGGAGAAGGAGGAGAAGCCAACACAAGTATGCATAATCCAGGTCAGCATAGAGGGTAGTGGGGACTGATTCCCCTGGGACTACCTGAGAAGCCTATGGAATGGCTCCCAGAATCCACCACTGGAAAGAAGGGTGGCAGGAGTGTGTGAACTACTGCCTCCACTCTTCATTGGCAGTAGGTTGTCACCCTGTGTTCCCTCCCCCACACTTCTGAGCCTTGGGTGAATGTGTAGGCTGAGCCAAATCCCAACCTGAGAAGGCACACAAAGAGGAGCCTGTGGGCAGAAAGCAAGAAGTGAGGAGGACACTGGCAGCATATGTGGAGAGACTGAAGTGAATCACAGCCTGAGGCAATCTGTGACCTGAGGGTGAAATCAGAGGTGTGCCCAAGAGGATGGCCATCATCTTCAAGTGACCTCCCCAGTCTTCACTCCTAGTTGACAAGGGAATAAGTCGGGTTCACAGATATTAACCAATCACTATAAGGATGTGGATTTCCAAAGCACTAATGTTCAAGTTAGGCCATGTAAAACATAAATAACTTAAATGAGATGACACATTACTTATGTGTTTATGTTTAATGTTGTGAACAAAGTTCGTTGTAAGTTGAAACATGATGACACAGTCCTGGAGTGCAGCTAGCTGGGCAAAGCTCAGGGGAAACAAATGGATTGTGTTTTGATTGTGGCCTGGGTGTCATTCTAGGCTGTGTCTTCTTACATTGGAAACTGGATTTGTGGTCAGGCTATTTCATGAAACCCTGGTCCCAGACGTCATCAGCCAGCTTGTCCTTGAGGCTGTGGAAGAGAGGTGAGAAATGGATGGAGCTCTTGTGGCCAGAAGTGCTCCTCTTACCCAGCTGATACTCAGCTGCTTATTGTCCCTGGGGCTTGACTGTGCTACCTTGGACTTTAGTGGAAAGCTGGTCTTTAGACAGGTGATATATCTGACTTGTAATAGGCTAGGCTCCTGACTGGCTCAATGTTTGTTTTTTTTAAATATGTATACTTTAATGTTTATTTTTTAGAGAGACAAAGCATGAGTCGGGGAGGGGCAGAGAGAGAGAAGGAGACACAGAATCTGAAGCAGGCTCCAGGCTCTGAGCTGTCAGCACAGAGCCTGATGTGGGGCCTGAACTCACAGGCTGAGAGATCATGACCTGAGCCGAAGTTGGATGCTTAACCAACTGAGCCACCCAGGTGCCCCTGGCTCAATGGTTTTAATCCTGGGTGCTTTACTTCCCCAATCTACCCCAGCTAACAGTCATGGCCAAGATTCCAAGAGACATGGAGGGGGCTTGTGAGGTCATCTGCCAGGTCCCCTCACTTTCTGCCTGTGAAACAGCACAACCTCCCATTTTGTATGGGGCATCTTAATGCCAGAGAGAGAGATCCAATTGTCCTAAGTGACATAGAGTCAGGGTCAGTTCTGGGACCAGATCCCAAGTGCCATGCTTCCAAGTGTACTCAGATTGTCGTATCCCTCCACATGATCACAGATTACAGGCCCTGCAGAGCTGGGTCAGTGAAACAATAGTCCTCTTTCCCTCAGGGAGTGGTCTGGTCTTTGTGCCTTACTATGGTGGGCCTCATGTCTGAAAATGGAGCCAGCCATGCTCACGAAGTACAAGACAATCTTGACACCAAGAGACTATTAAGGAAAAGAAGTCCCATGCCTTCAAACAGATGCTTGCAATTTTGGGAGACTGGGGCTGGAGAAAGCTTAATTCTGTGTCTCAAGGGCACCAGCTGTCTCTAAATAGTTGCCTTATGAGATTGTAAGAGAAGGTCTATGTTCCAGGTCAAATGCTTTCCCTCTCCAACATTTAACATACCACTCCATCTTGCCCATTCTACCTAACCTCACCCCCACTCCCAGCCTGCTTCACCTCCCCTGTACCATTACAGTGGCCTGCCTGCCCTCAGGCCCTCCCTCACTTACTCCGACCCCATACTCAGATACCAGGTCATTCTTCCTCATGTGCATCTTGGAATGTGACACTGTCCTTCACTCCTATTTCCAAAACTTTTAGTGCGTCTTGTTTTTCCAGAGTCCAGCCAGATGGGACTTCCCCCTCCATCCACTCTCTTCCTCCCCCTCTTGTACCAGCTCTGGAGAATCTTTTCATTTCCCATTGCATGCCATTCCCATTCAAGACCAGTCCTGTTCAAGATTTTGTAACGAAAAGCCTTGAAAGAGCTTCTAGGTTATAGACATCTAGTTTCCTCTAGTTTCACTACTAGGACAATAGTCTGGGTTTGAGGATTAATTAGTTAGATAAAAGTTGGGGTTGGGGCGCCTGGGTGGCGCAGTCGGTTAAGCGTCTGACTTCAGCCAGGTCACGATCTCACAGTCCATGAGTTCGAGCCCCACGTCAGGCTCTGGGCTGATGGCTCAGAGCCTGGAGCCTGTTTCCGATTCTGTGTCTCCCTCTCTCTCTGCCCCTCCCCCGTTCATGCTCTGTCTCTCTCTGTCCCAAAAATAAATAAACGTTGAAAAAAATTAAAAAAAAAAAAGTTGGGGTTATGGAGAAAAGTTTGAAGCAAGAGAGAGACCGGACAAAAGGAGGTGTGATGAGAAAAGAAATGTGCAGGTGATGTTAGAGACTGGAGCCAAAGGCTGGAACACCCTGAACCTCAGTTGAATCTAAAATACTTCTTAGAGGATGGCCCCCAAACCCTAAATTGCCAGCCATTGCTGCTGTTTTTTTCCTCCTAGCTAAATGTTACCCCATGAAAAATAAGACCAAGTTGTTTAGGGGCACCTGGGTGGCTCAGTCAGTTGAGCGTCCGACTTAGGCTCAGGTCATGATCTCACGGATCATGAGATCGAGCCCCGCATCAGGTTCTGTGCTGACAGCTCAGAGCCTGGAGCCTATTTCAGATTCTGTGTGTCCCCCTCTCTCCGTCCCTCCCCTGCTTGTGCTCTCTCCTTCTCAAAACTAAATAAACATTAAAAAAAGAACAAGTTTAAAGTCATATATTTTTTCTTTGAAATTGCCATATAGTCATTAAATAACATTAATTTCAACAACACTACACAGCAGTACAGGAGCATTGACTTTCTAAGAATTCGGAAGTGTTTCATTCTGATGATCCATGGAAGGACCTGATAATACTGTAGGCAGGTTGGAGGGAGAACAATGACATCCTGCCATGAACTTGACTGAGTTCACAGGAAAGAAAACATGCCACCAGATTTTATACTTTACATTTGCTAACATTTATATCAGACAAAGTCAAAACATCAATAACTTAAATATAATTAAATAATATTTAAGAAATGTGCTTTAAATTATTATACAAAGTGCTATTGTTGGGATTGTAAAAAAATAATATCACTCTGCCCTTGGGGAGGGTTGGGGGAAAATAAATAAGATTTTCTTCAGGCTCTGTCTCTCCAGTCCGGGTATAAAGGTTCAAGGTTTCTGGGTTTGGGACTTTTGGTCCAGGCGCTTCATGAAATCCTGGACCCACTTCTGCTTGGGGTCAGCACAGATCTCTCTGGATGTTTTGGTCTTGAAGCTGTGGAGGGAAGAGAAGGCAGTTAGATGGAGCACCTTGAGGATTTTGTCCAGGAATGTGGCCTGTTGCACCCTAAACCTGAGCAGCTTTTTCTCTCTGGGTGAGGGGGCTGGATGGGGACAGGTGGGGGAGGAAAAGTCCTCAAAAGGAAACTGTGCTCTTGTCCCAGGGGAATCCCTCAGGCTCCTGGCTGAAAGAACTTGGATGATCTGGCCAAGCTCCCAGAAGGTTAGCCTGGACAGAGTATGGATTCCCTCCCGTGAGCTCAGTTTCTCCATGGGGTAAAAGTTCCTTTGGATTAGATGGTATATTTATCTGACTCATTTGGACATGCATCCCGATATCTTTCCCTTGTATGTAACTCAGATAGAACTTTTGGTGGAGGGTTCCAGGGCATGATCTACTCACATCACAGCTTCCTGGGGACACTGGATGTTGGTGATCCTTGTGTAGCTCTCTAGCTTCTGCATAGGGATCTTCCCTTTGACCACACTGAAGCAGCAGGTAATTGGGATGGAAACTGAACCTGAAAAACATTTTGCAAAGAATGATACAGTTATAATGCATCATAAGCATGCATTTGCAAGGGCAGGTAGAGAAGCTAGGAAAAGACAAAACAAACATACAAGTTCCAATGAACACTGGGCACTCCCAAGTCCAGTGCCTTAGTTCACATTCCACAGATGAAATGGTGCCCAGGAGTCAGTTTCCTCTTTGGGAGTCTGGAGACCCTCATTGTTGATTTGGAATGGAGAAATCTCAAGTGACAAGACTAATCTGGTAGTGCCATTAGGAGGATCCACTGATCCAAAACCACTGACACCAAAAAGATAAGTTCTAAGAACTTGCTTCCCAGCTTTCTGTCCCCATGGGCTCTAAAGCCAACCTCTGTCACATGCTGAGAGGCCCCTGGGTCCTTATTATTCTTACATGGCTGGCTGTAATTCAAAATTTGAAACCCCAAGCACTAATTTTTTTTCCTCTGCACTACTGCCTGAAATGTTCTTCACATCCACAATGAGAAATGGTCCTTCCTTCTGTGTCACATCCCCAAACAATGTAAGGGTCATTGAGGTAGTGGCTGCATTTAGTGTCTCTTCTCCAGCTGGTGTCAGGAAGGACCATGGGGACTGGCCTCAGTGGCCTGGGCATCTGGTTCTGGTTCTGGCTAGTTGTGCCATGACAGCTCTTTTTATCTCTGCTGTTGGTTTCAATTTCTCCATCTCTGTAATGTAGGCTATGCAGCAAGCATGCTGGGATGGTAGTACCTACAACAGTTAAAATGGTAAGCCTTAGGAAGAGAGGGCCTTACCTGGCTGAGCAAGCACCTGGATGCTGAAGGTGGCCACTGTGAGCAGCAGGCACAGAAGCACTGCGGAGACCTTCATGGCAGAGGGAAGCACAGAAGCTTGGGTGTGAGAGATGGAAGTTCCTGGGTTTGTTTCAGCCTCGCTGTTCCTCTGGACACCCTGCCTGTCTTTTATAGAGAGCAGAGTGTGTGGGCGGGGGCATGAAGTAAGACTTTGAATATGCTTAGTAGGCACCAGATCCTGGGGGTGATTTCCAAACGCTGGAAGAAGGAAGCTGAACAGTTTCTATCATTCACTTAGACTATGTGGAGTAGAGGTGGAAGGGTATGTCATTGTACCAAGAGAAATACAGGAAGTGACCTCAATGGAATGTTAAGGAAATGGAAATGGAAATGTTTGAAATGGAAAATGTTCTGTTGGAAAGGAAGAATGGAAGCTGAAGTCATAGTGAAGTGAAGACAATCAAAGATCTGGCCCTCTCTGGAGCCCAGGAGGCCTGAGACTGGGCTTTAAGTCTTTGGCTGTACTTTCCATCAGACTCAGGTCCCTGGCATCCTAAACTAGTCAAGCTCCTGTAGAACCCCACACAGGTAGCCTGATAGAACCCTGGCAGAATGGTGGAATCCGGGAAAATCTTCAAGTTTTAATGCCATGGAATCTTATGTTATGGGGCATGAGAATTGGACAGCACATACTGATCTTGTAGGGTGGTGTTTCCAAATATTTTATTTAGACACTAAAGTTTCTTTCCAGTGAAATCATAAGGAGAAACTCAATATTTCATGCAGGTAGAATGGGTCTGTTTGAGAAAGACCTTCAGTTCCCTTTGTTTACATACAGTGGGGTAGGGGTGGAGAGGGAAGGGAAGGAGCTAGGTTTGCAAACCACTGACCTCTTCTACTCGCCTCCCCTCATGTATCTGCCATTACAGTATCATGTGGAAATCCCACTGCCCTGAGACTCCCCTCTGCTCCTCCTCTCAAATCTCTGGCTACCACTGATCTTTATAATATCTCTATATGTTTATTTTTACAGAATGTCATACAGTTGGAACCATACAGTATGTAGTCTTTTCAGATTGGCTGCTTTCACTTAGAAATAGGCATTTAAGCTTCCCTTGTGTCTTTTCATGACTCATTTCTTTTTATTGCTGAATAGTATTCTATCATATGTGTGTATCAGTTTATTTAACCATTCCTCTATTGAGGGACATCTTGGTTGCTTCCAGTTTGGGGCAATTATGAATAAAGCTGCTGTAAACATTCTTGTGCAGGCCTTTACGTGGACATAAATTTTCAAGTCATTTGGGTAAATATCTAGGAGTGTGACTGCTAGATGATATGGTAAGACTATGTCTAGCCTTGTAAGAAGCTGTCAAAGGGTCTTCCAAAGTGGCTGTACAGGGCATTGTTCATTCTCACTAGCAAAGAATGAGAATTCCTGTTTTCTGCATCTTCGCCAGCATTTGCTATTGTCAATATTTTGGATATTAGCTACTCTCCTGGGTGGGTAGTTGTTTCTTATTGTCTTAAACTGCAATTCTCTAATGACATATGATGTTGAATATATTTCATATGCCAATTTTCTATTTGCATATTTTCTTTGGTGGGTGTCTCTGATGAGGCCTGTCACTATTTTTAAATTGGGTTGTTTGTTTTCTCATTATTGAGTTTTAAGTGTTCTTTGTATATTTTGGATACAAGCCCTTTAACAGATGTGTATTTCACAAAGTTTTTCTCACAGTCTATGGTTTGTCTTCTCCTAATGGTGTCTTTCATGCAGGATAAGTTTTTCATTGTAATGAAGTCCAACTTATTAATTTATTAATTTCATGGATCAGGCTTTTCGTGTTGTGTCTACAGAGTCATCACCAAACCCAAAGTCATCTCAATTTTTTACTATGTTATCTTCTAGAATTTCATAGATTTGAATTTTACATTGAGGACTATGATCCATTTTGAGTTACTTTTTGTGAAAGGTATAAGATCTGTATCTATATTCTTCTTATTTTATTTTATTTTATTTTATTTTGCATGTGGATGACAAGAACCATTTGTTGAAAAGATTTCCTTTTCTATTGAATTATCTTTGCTTCTTCAATATTGATTCTTCCTATCCATGAACATAGGATCTCTATTTACTTAGTTCTTTAATCTTTCATTAAAATTATTGTAGTTTTCCACATATCGATATTATACATATTTTCTTAGATTCATTCCAATGTACTTTATATTTTAGTCCTAATATATATAGTATTGTGCTATTAATTTCAAGTTGAAATTGTTGTTGGTATGTGGAAAAATAATTGAATTTTATGTATTAACTTGGTAGCTTGATACCTTGCTATAATTGCTTTTTTGTGCAGGAGGTGTGCGTGTGTGTGTGTGTGTGTGTGTGTGTGTGTGTGTGTGTTTCTTTTCCTACATGGACAATTATGTCTTTTACAAACAAAGACCTTTTTTTTTTTCAATTTCTTCTCAATTTGTATACCTGTTTATTTTCTTGTCTTGTCTTATTGCATTAGCTAGGACTTCCAGTATTTTGAATAAGAGTGGTTAGAGGGAACATCCTTGCCTTGTTCCCAGTCTTAGGGGAAAAGCATTTTTTCATGATTAAGAATATCATTTCATTGTTTCTACATCAGTAAATATGATGTTAGCTGTAGGCCTGTTGTAGATGGTCTTTATTAAATTGAGGACACATCTCTTTATTCCTAGTTTGCTGAAAGTTTTTTCATGAATGGGTGTTGGATTTTGTCAAATGCTTTCTATTGGTATCATCATATTGATATCTTTGTGTACTTGGAATAAACCCCACTTGATTATGTTGTGTAATTCTTTTCATACATTGTTGAATTCTATTTGTTAATATTTTGTGGAGTATTTTGTATCTATGTTCATAAGATGGTCTATAGTTTTCTTTTGGTTCTTCCAGGATGGCAGGATTTTGATCACTTTGGGGACAGTCCCCCTGCCAGATATACCATGTATCACTGATCTCTATGGGGCTGTGTAGGCTAACAGGTCAAATTTACTTATATTTTTAATTTGGAAATAAAATCATTGTCTTACAAAATACCCTGAAGACCTCATTTTTAATTTCTCCTCTGAGCAGTCTTCGTATGGAAAATGCATCTATAAACAAATGACAGAAATAATGGTGGAAATCATAGTTCTTGGGAATCAAAAAGGAATAATCAAATGAATAGAAATAAATGGCATGTCCTGAGTCTAATCCTGACTTAGCCAATAACTAGCTAATGACTTGCCCAATGTGACCATGAACTAATCTTGACTCTGAGGTTCATTGTCCTCATCTATAAAGTATGGATTTTTGAAAAGTTCAGGGATGGTAAATAGTTTTCAATCATGTATTAACCTGATGGATTTATGGTAGGTGACCAGAAAGGTTTGTTGGGAAAACAAATAAACAATAAGCCTTCATTTGAGTATTGAATGTAAAGTCACGATTGATTATTGATGTCTGCCATGGGTACAACAGTGGGGATTGGTACTTCCCATGTAACATAGTTTCTTTTCTAGGGTTAAATCATATTTAAGCTCTTCTGTAACTTAATTTATGTATGATTATCTGCAAATGATCCAATCAGAAACCAGAGAGGCTGGGATGCCAGGAACTTGCAGACAAGTGTTTTCAGCTGTCAGCCCCAGGAAAGACAGTACAGCATGGTAGTTAAAAGTCTGGATTTAGATACTAGGATTACTAGTTAATATCTATGTCAGAGAAGGCACAAGTAATCTAATTTCTTTGTAGTTCAAATTCTTTACCTATTCTTTGTTTTTCTTATATGGAAATGAAGTTTATTGAGAATATTAAACTACCTAACACTGAAAATTTACTTTGCAGAGTGAGTGGCGTATGGTAATACGTGCAATAAGGTAGCCATCAGCAATAGTCAAATAAAATGAGTGTTCTGTCTAGAACAAGCTAGAAAGGAACTCAAAATGTAGTTCTTGGTCTCTTGTACCAGTTCCCCCCAAAACCATTTCCAAACAAAGATATGTGATAAAGACAGGCCTCCCGAAATGCCTACACTTTAGATGAAGAAAGAAAAAGAGTCTCCTGGAAACAGAGAAGTGACGTCCTGCCATGAACCAGAAGAATGGAATGTTGTGGGGTCTCAGAAGAGATGGGGGTCAGATCCCAGTGTTGATATGCCAAAGAGCAGCAGGCTCCTAATTCTACAGGGAGTTCAGAGTTCTTAGCTGGCAAGTCACTCTGATTATGCAATTTCCCTTTCTTGCTTTGTTTTTAAACTGAAATCAAGAAATCCAAACATAAAAAAGTTAAAACGAAACTTTAGCCCATGCAAGTTCATGTCTGTCCAGCAGCCTGGCTGTGTCGTTCAAGGAAGTGGTCATTCTGCCTCTTCCCTTTCCCTTCTCCACAGTGCTTTCCCAGCAAACAAATTCTTGAAGCAGTTTTGACAACCCACGTACAGGTCAGTGGCTGCAAAGGGGAGCTTGAGGTCAGAAGCCTGTGAGTAGCAGGCAGGAAATGAGTATCCTGGAAATAGATCTGAATTTGTAGGTGGTTCTCAAGGGATGCGACGGGAATGGGAGAGCACGCGGGAATCAGAATTGCTGCGTTCATTTTCCACTTCAGTCTCCAGTTTCCTCAGTGGTCACACAATTATAGATTGCATTGGAAGAGGCATTTGCATTTAATTTCACTAATCTTTTCACTTCACAAATGACGGAAAGAATTATGGAAGTGAAATGATTTGTCATGGATTGTACAGCGACTACATGACAAACCAAGACTGGTCAGTGGTCATGTCTGAACGAAAACCATTTTGAAATTCAAAGTTAGGAGACAAAGACCAGGTAGAAGACTGCAGTGAGGTGCTCCAAAACCCCAGGGACCATCTAATGTCCTAGTCCCCAGATCCACCTATAATATCAGGATTCTCTGGGCAATTATTAGTAAGATATGCCTTAACCACTTCAGTATAATGAGTGAGAATCTTTGGAGATGATGTCTTAGAATCTGTTTTTGAAGTGAGCGGAGTGATTTTTAATCAGATCCATTAACCTAGTTCAAATGTCTCATTTACA